CATACTCATACTTCTTTAAAAACCTTTTTTATTATTATTTTAAGGTTTAGTTAACTTCTAAACAGAGAGCATAAGCAATTATACTGCTTAAAAATAGATTTGCTTCAAAAGAAATTGTCATCAAAGTTGATTGTAAAAGCTATACAACTATTTTAAGACTCAAAAAAAAGTATAAAGAGACTAGTAAAGTTGAAAATAAATCTGATTCAGGTCGTCTAAGAAAACTGAATAAGTGAGATAAACGTTCTCTTATAAGACATTTAATGACAAAGAAATGTATAATTGCAGTCTAACTCTAAAAATTACTAAAAACTTTTGATAATATTAAAGTCAACATTAATACTGTTTATAGAGCTTTAAAAAAAATGGTTTGGTAGCTTGAGTAAAACGTAAAAAGCCACTTTTATCAAAAAAACATTGTAAAAAACGTCTTAATTTTGCAAAGAGATATAAAGATTAGACAATAAATGAATAAAGCAAGATTGTATAGTCAGATGAGTCCAAATTTCAAATATTTGGTTCAGATAGATGTGAGTATTATTGGAAAAAAATAGGAAAACCCCTTCAAGATACTCATATTAAACCTACTGTTAAGTTTAGTAATGAAAGTGTTTTCATATAGGATGTTTTACATCTTATGGTGTAGGTTATCTTTGTAAAATAGATAATAAGCTTGATGCAGAACTTTATTATAAGATTTTGAATGAAGACTTTATAAAAACTTTGTAGTATTATGAATTAAGTACTGATAATAATATCTTTATGCAAGATAATGACTTTAAACATACTGCTATATTAATTAAAAAATAATTTGAAGACAATAGAGCTTTACTTTAGCTACTATAATCTCCTAACTTAAATCTAATTAAACATTATGAAATAATATGAATCATCATATTAAAGCATTAGATATTGAAATTAGAGGAAAGGATATGTTATAAGAATAAATTCATAAGATATAGGAAGAAACTGTATTAAAAACATGTATTAAATTTATAAAATCAATTCTAGAAAGAATAAATGATATAATCAAAGCAAAAGGTGATTATACTTAATAATGAGAATATTTGGTAAAATTTTTAATTGGAATTAATTTAGTTTTTTTTAAAAAAATTTAATAAATTTGTTATATTTACGAAAGTACTATATTAAATATACTATTATTTAATAAAGAATCACGTGATAAAAAATTTTTTTTGATTTATCAAGTATTATTAAAATTGATGTATTATGAAGATCTTATAATATACTATATATTTAATAAATATTTAAATAATCAGATTTTATTATTAATTATAAAGCATATAATTAATAATAAGCAGTATAGTAATATATTTTTTTTTGAAAGCCATTATATAAGAAAGTGTAAAAAATTAAGACTATCATATTATTTTTGATATACTTAATGATTTTTTTGCATCAGAAAATTTAGCTTTTTAAAATATAAATGAAAGGGTTGATATAATAATTTAATTAAATGATCTATAATTTATTTCGGATTTTAGACATTTTGATAGAGATTTAACAAATAAATTTAATACTTTTTGGAATTATGCTCAAAATATTTAAAAATACTATAAATAAAACTATATTAGCTGTAGATAAAAAAAGATATAATATAATTCAACACTTAGTACAAGCTATTTTAATATATGATTTAGTAAATTTATGTCTATCAAATATAGAAATATTATCAGAATAATAGTTAAGATTTTAATTTTGATCACATAATGTAACTTATTTATTTAGTTTAAAATATACTAGAAAATTAGATACTAAATATATAGTATAAAACAGATAATTAAGAAGTAATCATATTGATAATTATTATGCTTTAGCATTATTTCGATATCTTAAAGAATTAGTTATTATTATTTTTATTTAGTTTTTATAAATAATAAATACAGATATAAGGTTAAAAAACTAGGTTATTCAGTTACTGCTATTGAAAGAGAAAAATAAGTAATAGTTTTATATAACAAATTTTTTATTGTTAATGATCATGATTTTATAAAATGTAGAATTATTTCTAGTATTATAATGTTTATGATATACTAGTATCTATAAAAGATTCTCTTTATTAAGGTAAGTTTATATAAGATTAAAAGATTCATTTTTTTAATTATTTAATTTAATATGATATAATTTAGAATTATATAACTTACTTATAAATAATTAATAATAAATTCCATTTTTATTAATTTATACAGATAGTGATCTTAATCATCTGATTAATTATTTATGAGTTCAACTTTCTTTAATTATTTTATTTATTACACCAGATTTAGATTTATTAGTAGCAATATGTATACTACTAGAATATTCTTAGAAAAATCCTATAGAATGTGTAATATCTATTTTAAATCTAGAATTATAATATATAGAACTAATGAGAATAGAAATAAATAAAGGATATGAAGAAATTATAAAATATTGTAATTTAATAAAATATATTTGAAATAAAGCTAAAGAGAAGTTACAATTAAAAAAATAATTATTAAATAATTTATATTATACTATTTAATTAATGAAAAATTTAATTAAAAGACTTGAATTATGATACTTTTAAAGCAGCTTTAAATAAAGAAATAATTACATTATAAAACTCACTTCTTTTAATTAATAATTTTTTAATGATAGATGATAATGCTAAAAAAAGTATTTAAAATAAATTTGAGTTTTTAAAATTTTACAATTATTGTTATAGATTATGACATTTTTTTTTTTTAAAATTAAAAAGTGTAAATTATTAGATTACAATATACATAAACCTATAAAATATGATCCTGAAATATGACTTAAAGTTCATAATTTTTCTGATTTAATTTCAATAATAGATGGCAAAAAATATAAAAATTTTGAAAAATTATATAATCTAAAAACTATAAAAGAATTTAGACCTTTTTTAAATAAAATTAAAATATTAAAGAATAAAATGATTTTAAGTTTAATATACAAAACTGTAAAAATGTTGACATTTTAATTCAATATAAAGAATATGATAAATGACATGTAATTTATTCAAAATCAAAATTATTTTTAAAAAAAAAAGAAGAATTAATAAGAATTTTAAATGGAATTCAATATATATGTAGTAATACTTTTTATGATTTAACTAGTTTTACAAATATGCAAGATTTTAACAGTATAAATAATTCTATGAAAAGATTATTCTCTATTATTAAAGTTATAATACTCTAATATGCAATAGTCCTATTAAAGCTTTATATTATTCAAGTAAATTATTTAAAGAAGTATTTTATTTTAATTGTGATGTATAATGTCAAAAAATATAAATTATAGTGAATACTTTTCATATTATGAAGAATGAGGAATAAAAAAGAAGAAAAAGAAAAGAAATTTGTAACTAATAAACAAAGAAATGTTGAAACTAATGAGTTGTAAAAATGAATTATACATAATGATAATATAATAAAACTTTAATTTACCAATAAAATTACACTTAGAGTCACATAATAAACTTTTTATATATAAATTTTTTTTTGTTAAAATTTAAAAAAGTTACATTCATTAATATTAAAAATTACATTATTTGAATATTTTTATTTTTAAAAAAATTCAAAAAAAAAAATTTTTTAATATAAATTAAACATAAAAAGAAAATTGTATATAATATAAAATAAGTTAAAAAATGATTTACAATGATTTGTATTTATATATTTGCATTTATTTTATTTCATTAAATTTGATATACTAAATTTTATATTAAAACTTTAATATATATAAATTATGCATATAAATATTATTATCATAACTATTCTGATTAGATTTCTTTCAATACTTATACTAATTAAAAGTAAATTATAATAAAATTTGTTAAATTTTTTAAATAATTTTTATTAATCAGCTATATAATTAAAATTTTATTTTTCAGTTAATATTTTAAAAGCAATTTTTTCTAAATTAACTAAAACTTTTATTAATTCAAGAATTTTATTTGTATTTTTGTTTATTTTTTTTATATCGCGTTATTTGTTAGTTTCGGCAGTTTCACTGGGCAACCTGATCGATAGGACAGGATGGCTTTACGTGTTTGACGCAGAATTGTATTGCGAAGTTCTCTTTCGGAGTATATTATTTTACATAGTCTGTGCAGATGATAGTATATTGTATAGATAGTTGTAGATATAGGTGGGATAATTATTTTCGAAAATCCAGTATTGTAAAAGAGTATGGGTTGAGAATCTCGTAGTTAGCAGGTGTATAGATAAAGAAATAATTTTTTAGTTATAGATATTTTCTGTAAATGTGAGAGCAAAGAAATAATATGAATACTGAGATCCGTACTCCCTTCCTCTTTGATAGCATCATATATTTCACTCTCTATCTCTTTTACTATTAATCTAAGAATCATTAATAAAGTTTTACATGATGTATGTGAATCAGAATAATAAAATCAGAAGAAATGTATTTATTTGTTTGACACTTATAATCAATTAAATCATCAGACACGTAACGCATAATAATAATGAATCAAATTATGTCATAATATAGTCTATGATAAAAATTTTATAAAAGTTTAAATTTAAATCATAAGTAAAATCTCTAGAAATTGGATTTTATTATTATATTCATTCCCTTCTTCAGAGTACAACATCACGTTTTATTTAGTAATTATGTCAGTATATAAAGCAATAATTAACCTTGAATTATCACAAGAGGAAAGAAAAGCCTTACGCGTCTTATTCACTAATAATCCATCTAAAAAAACTGAAGCGGGGAGATCATTCCTACTTGTACCAATAAAGAGCAAGTTAATTATTTGAGAGAATTATTGACTTCTGGTATGTTCTCAATCGGTATATGTATCCCTTTAACATAAAATTTTGCGTCGTAATAATTGGTCATGACGCGTAATGCGATTTAATATTTGTTAACCGGCTTTGCCTTTTTTGGTCTCCTATTCCAATTTAGATGAACCTCAAGGTAAGCCTTCACGTCGTAACAATTATCTGAAATTAACGTGACGCTTTAATAACATGTTTATTAATCCACTATCTAAAGCCAAATGTATTCTAACCGTTGAGAACATCGAAAAAGCTATTAAACCATATATTCGTAATCTACCTCGTGAATTACCAGACAATATCCCAAATGATGTTTCTGACATTTCAACTTATTTAAAGTTTGTAAATCGT